TTTTTTTTTTTTTTTCTGTTATCTTTTTGGTTGGATTTGGATTTTGGTTCGATGATATGTGGATAGTGTTAGCTGAGAATGTGGCGGTAATCAGTCACGTACTCATGAATTTTTATGGAAATAATTCATATGAACGACCAAATTTTTATGTTTTTTTGTCTTTTAACTAATCAATTTTTATTTCTATATTAATTATTAAGTTCCTTTATTTTATTTTATTTTTTTTCGAAACGACATATTTTATACATCAAAAAATAAAATTGCAATACGAGATCACAGGGAAGAATGCTATCGAAGAAGGTGAAATCAGAGGAACACTATCGAAGCACACTAAAAACTAGAACCACTTGGAAGTACAAGCACTCGATAGAGACGACAACAACTGACACCGGCTTGCATCGACCCAATCCAAACAAAAGCTAAAACTAAAAATACCTCAAAAGCGCAGAATAAACTCCCACGAGGGGAGAGTTACACCTACAATAAATGCTAAAAAATACACACCTACAATACAATACAACATCCCCAACTTCACGCAAGCAACCGCAACAGCTACTAAGACAAGCACCAGAAATAAAATCTGCAACAATCATACTACACGCTACAAAGCTAAGGAGACCTACAGAGCCATACCCCATATCCAAAAACTCCAACAATAAGTGGCTAGTCAGAGCTGGTGAAGAGAAAGCCTCAGCCAAGATCTGAGCTCTCGAACTGTCAACCGAGGGAGGACGCCTAGGGAGAAGTCTCAACGAGCCACGCCACAAGAACCCCAAAACAGATGCCCCGGAAGGGACCGCACCGTGCATCCGAGCTCGACCGAACGCGGAAGGCACCTACGAGACTCAAGAAGCAGATAAGAGGCCAATGGGGCTTCAGCGGAGGCCAGTGCTGGAGAAGAAAAGTCGGCACGACAACTACCGTCTTGTGTTGTAGGTTAGGTTTATGTCCAACCTAAGGTTAAGGCCTATTTATATATATGTGTACATGTCTTTGTGAATATACATCAGATATTTTTTCCACATTCTTACAGGGTATGAGACTAGAGTTAGGGTCAATCGTAGGCTTGACTTTCGTCGCTCGTCTCCAGCCACTACTAGTTCTCACCGCCCCCACCATCGTGTCTGGCTTCTCACGGCTAGTCGTCGCCTGAAATTGGGCCTGTTCGTCGGCGCGTGTCAGCCTCACACGCCGCCTCTCCGTCGCGGCACTCCGCTCTTTCTCTGGCGTGTGTAGGCCACCCCTAGCTCCATTCAGCGCCGCCTTTCAGCCGTCGACTCGTCTCATCGTCGGCTACATTGTGGTCAGATCAGTTTTGGTATCA